TCCGGTCCCCCCTAGTCCAAAGATATGCGCTGTAGGCTGATTGGCATTTCCAAATTGTCAGTAGTGTGTGAATGTGTGTGTGTGTGTGTGTGATTGGTTGGCACCCCATCCAGTGTGTCCCCCGCCTTGTGCCCCGAGTCCCCTGGGATAGGCTCCAGGGTCCCTGCAGCACAGAGAATGGAGATATATAGAGTTAATGGAGATATATATATATATATAGTTTGAAACCAAAAAAATCCTGGTGTTCAGGTAGATAATTGAATTTGATCAATTATGAATGTGTTTGGTCAACTGTTTTTGTGCAGCCTATTACAGCTTTACATTTAATTTAATATAAAAAAAAAGAAAAGCCAAGTTCTTAGAAAAAAATTACAGAGTCATTGTTTCAGACACATTTAAGACAAACATGGACACTGACCATAGTAAAGTAGTTCCATCGAAGCGTAAACACTGAACAACCAATGAGCTGCGACTCCTGTCTGAAACCAACCAATGGGACACGAGCTACGAGTGGACCGGAAGTAACGTTTTGCAATTCGGGACTCCCTTTTCTTACTCGTGCAATGGTCAGATAAGATTAGATGTTATTTAAAGTGGTTTCGAAGTACATATGTGAAACGAGCCCCGGAAATATTAAAGTTTTGATGAAGAAATAAGACTTTTTAATCGGCACTTTGCTCCATACCAACCCCTCGTCGTATGACGCCGCCGGAAACAGTTGTTGCGATTTACATCCAGCAGGACGCAGAGATGGATCAAGAAGTAATCAGCGAATTTAAAGAAAACATCTTGTTACTAGAGTTTGCACTGAAGGTCTGAGCCTCGTTGATTGGCTGCTAATTAAGGTATGCTGTAGTTATTTTGTAAATAAAACCTCTCGTATTTATTATATTGCTGACTTTCATTTGGGAAGCCAAGTCATCCTGTGCAATCTCATAGTATTTAGTTCTTGTTTTTCAACCTACTGTTGGAAAAGCTTTTACATTTTGGAAACATAAGGACAAGTAAGATCCTAAATCATAACTGCATCGAAATACTGACATTTATAGACTACAGAATTGATAGAACTCACTGGAAGGCCAAACATGCATTGTTTGGCAAGAGCATTACATATTCTTTTGGTTTATTTGTACTGAATAACTAAAATTCAAATGTTTGACATCTGATTTAAAGAGGAATGTATGGACTGTTAGAAATAGCTTCAATCATTCATTTATTCATTCATTCATTCATCTACAGTAAGCACTTTATCCTGGTTAGGGTCACGGTGGAACACTGGGTGTGGAATGGGAATACACTCTGGATGGGAAGCCAGTCTATCGCAGTACACACACACACACACACACACACACACACTGACACCTACGGGCAATTTAACATAGTCAGTCCACTTACAGGCAAGTTTTTGGGAGGTGGCAGGAAACCGGAGAACCCGAAAGAAATGGATGCATATTGGATGATTCTGTATTTTATGTTTTTTGTGAATGCTTGTAATGTTGACTGCCACATCACACATTATGGTTGAGAACACAAGACAGTTTTTCTTAATCATGCCTCTGGCATTTGCTTAATTCAACAAGACAAGCTTGTAGAGAGCAGACTTGGTTACTGCAAGGATGTCAGTATTGGGTATTGAAATGGAGAAAAGTGGGATTGGCGCAGGTTGGTAGGGGGATGTTGTGGTTCAGTGGTTAAGACCTCGGGCTATTGATCAGAAGCTTATGAGTTCAAATCCCAGCTCTGCCAAGCTGGCCAAGTTTGGTTTTGAGTGAGGCCCTTAGACCACAGCTGCTTAGTTGTATCCTGTCTCAATTGTAGGTTGCTTTGGATAAAAGCATTATAAAAGCATTTACACAGTGGTACACAGTGCTATGATATATATAAATATTATATTTTTCTCAGCCCAGTGCTCCTGGTCCATCAGTCCTTGAAGATGTTATCCAACCCTCTGGCTGACCCTAACGAAACACGGCAGGTTGCTTCAACTGGTCCCTGCCCACAGTCTGCACTTTATCAAGACTTGTTGGTGATGGCCTACAGAGGAAGTGCAAAAGCAGAGATTGGGAATGAAGATAAAATTACGTGTTCAGTTCAGGAACCTCAGACATCAGGTTTTGTTTTCCTGGACACTGATAAACAGCTGAAACAGACTTCTTCAGAGCTGAATGGTGATTTGGGAAGTAGCACAAATTTCGAAGCTGGCACACATGAAGGTAATGGATACTTCTTTTAAGCAAGTATTACAGCAGTTGCAAAACGTATTTTTTTTCTTTGGACTAAGCAGCTCAGCGTTTAAGTTAGTGGTTCTCAATAGTTTTTTTTATCATCTTTATACATGTGTAGACACATCATTACCATATGGAAGATGACTATTTCTCCAAGCGGGCCTAACCCTGAAAAACCAACCCAAATACATACATGCCTGCCCACCTGCCCACTTTTAATTTTTGAAGTTGCTTCATGTGAGAATAAAATGTACTACAATGTATACATGGATAAAAATTACAATGTGTCATCTGTTAATAAATAAAAAATTGTTAGTGTTAACAGATGACACATTGTAATTTTTTATTAGCCGGTGTCCTGAGCCAGCGGCTTGAGGCTAAGTATCAAATACGGAATAACACACAGAAGGGTGTGCTGCTATATGAAAATAATCAACAGTGATCTGGTGTGATGCTGATTATTTTCATATAGCAGCACACCCTACTGTGTGTTATTCCGTAATTGATACTTAGCCTAGGGGTTTAAAATAACCATGCAGTTCATGTTAGATAAGTACTATCTATGCTTAGCATTGCTGTTACTATGGTTACCACAGTAGAGTGGTCAGTAGTCCCCTGGTGTGTGAAAGCCCTTTAAACATCATGATGAAAAAGAGCAGCAGTTCTAATTTGACGAAAATCTGCTGTTGTTTATTTCTTGTTTATTGTTTTAGCGGACATGTTCAGAACCCCAGAATGGAAGCCGCCGCTGACCTTGTCCGCTTTGCCTCCTGAATGTCCAAAAGGAGAGCAGCTGGGTTCTCTGGAGCGCTTTCTTGTGGCCCATCAAAACGAAATGAAGCGCTTGCTGACAGGCACACTCGGTGTCCTGAGCCAGCGGCTTGAGGCAGTCGAGCAAAGGATCGAGCAGCTGCATGTCCAGGGCACTGCACATGGAAAAAGTCTAGCCCTGCTTCACAGCGAAGTTAGCCTCCTGGGAAGAAACATCACTGCTGGCTGTTCAAGCACACTGACTGCTCTGAGTATTTCCCCTTCCAGCACTTATGGTATAAATATTTTGTGAAAAGATGGCTTTAGAAAGGTGAAATGATCACTAGATAAAATTAGGGATGGGCATTTTAAGTGCTTTTGCTATTCTAATTTGCATCTTTAATTTGCTCAAATATCAGCAAGAGAATACGTTATGTGCTTATCAATAAAAATCAAAAACACAAGGTTTAAAATTTTATTATTAGATGCAACTACGTAACTACAATGCAAAGCTGGTGGTATACTTCAAACAAGAAAAGACATTTCAACGCAAAAAAAAAAAAACAACATCTTTTGAGTAGTGCTTTTAGTGTGTAAACTGCGGTGTGCATTATTTTCTAAACAAAACTCCTAACCATTGCGTCTTTTGTTCTAAGACCTACCCCTGTCTGTAATTAGTCCAGGTATCGCATACAATGGGCCAACAGTTTGATTTATGGGTAGGCTCTTTGTACATTTACTACTACGGCTTGTTTGTGATTGTCAAACAGCAGCACGAATATGCCACTTACGTCCCTGACTCCTATCAGGTTGCCATGCTTGCTTTAAAAAGCAGCCCAAAACAAGGCCAGTATTCCAAGGGTTTGACCCTTTCAAACCCTATACACCAGATTTAACTATTACAAAATGCATTGTGCTAAAACTGTATGCAGTACAATTTAACAAGGCGGTATTGAAGGTACTGAGTTTGCTGCGGCAATTGGTCAAAAAAAAAAAAAAAAAGCTGTTTCAAACTGACCAGGATGTGAGGTTTGCCTTTAAGACTCTATCAGAAAAATTTCACCAAAGATGTCTATAATACATACAAATGGCAAGTAGCCAAAACACCACCCAGTGCATTGTGTCTGTAATATAGCTTATAGCCAAAATAAGTATCAAAAAGCCTTGAGCAGTCTTTCCTTTTTCTTAATGTTGGTAAAACCACTGATCAAATGCAAGATTGTTTAAGATATCTGAATAGATAGATACCAGATATTTAAATATTAATGTCCATCCCTTTATGAAATATGTTAACCATTATCCTGAGAAATGTTTCATCCAGCTGATATTTTGTCACATAGAATAAATGAATATTGGTGAAAAAGGAAACAGTTCTGCTCAAATAAGATATAAAAATCAAACTTGGAAATATTGAAATATCATGATGTACATCAGTTGATGTATTTCATTGCTGCATTCTTACAGAAAAGCACTCAGCTGAGGAAAAGGAAGATGGTGACACATCCAAGATATCCTCTCAGGGATCAGTTAATCATGGAAGTAGGGACACTGTGTGCCAACCATGGATTGATTCAGGGACTGCGATTGATTTCTCTGCACATAACTCTGATTGTAATCATAACCTTGAGGTCCTGGACCCTCTGGGGCTTAATGAAGGCTCATCTGGACAGCTAAAAACTAACTGCTTAGAGGTTTCGTCTTTTGAAGACTTGAACATGGAACAGGATGTGTTGCTCAGTAAATTGGACAAAAAAGACAGCCAAAATGAGCCACCTTGTTATCCAAAGCCCCAGTCTTCTGAGAGCTTGGATGCAGGCATTCAGTACCACTCTACTGATCAGTGTTTACATGAATCAGCACAACTTAAGGTGCCTTCTTTCAGTAGTGAAGTTCTTAAAAGTTCAGGGGAGGGAAGCTCGTGTAAGAATCATGGTCCTAGTAGTGTAAGTTCAGATATTGAAAATTGTAAATCAGAAGGAGAGTCTGTCCTGTTGAGACATCCCCCACCAGACTTGATGGCAAGTAGGTCACACTTAGTCGCCCAGTCTAGTACTGCAGACAAACCTGAAACTTGTCCTGCTCCCTTGATCACGACTCTGTCCACAAAAGGTCCTAGAACAATAGCCAAAAAAGGTGACTGGCCATTTTCTGAAGTTGTATCTTTTCCGACCTTGTTCAAGATCCCATGCCTCTCAGAGATCATGCCAGGCTCAATCAAGGATTTACCTTTAGGAGATGCTTTCAGTCCAGTTGATGATGAGGGAACAAATCAGTGTGGTAAAGGAAAGGGGAAACAGTCAAAGGTTATAGGTTCCCAGTCCTCCTCAAGGAATGGAGCATTGGCCTGTGTAAGGATAAAATCTTACCCATATTCCCATTGCACATTAGTCACCCCAGTGGTGCTACCTTTGGACTCTTACAAGGCTTGCCTTTCAGCTATGGGATTTCTTTTGCCCTGGACTGACTCAGAAGTGTCAGGTCCCAAGAATGGGCTGTCAAAACTGCTTCATACAGGAACACAATCTAACCACAGTATGAGCAATGTTCTAAATCACCTGGATGACATTGCCTGCCGCTTGATTCCTAATAGACCCATCAAGAATGTCCTACCTCTGATGAGATACCACAGAATTGCATCTAAACTCAAACACCACCATCAGAAGGACCATTCCTTCTCTAAATGGCCTCCACTGAACACCAGTCAAGTACTCCGTCTACCCCTTCCCAAACTAAATACCTGGGGGCCTGTTATGAGACATGAAAACAGTGTTCGCCCACTTCATTCAAAGCAGAGTGGAGACCTGACCCTCCATACCCCACCACTCCTTCATCTGCTAAGTATGACACAACCTTTTCAGACACCCACGTATTTCTCCATGTCTGTTATGAGAAAAGGGAGCTTCTCTGGGGTAGGCCTGAGCACAGTGTTGGCCGTGTCCTCTCCGGCCTCTTTCAGACTGTGGTTACGCCACATCCACCCCCCTTTGTCCTTCACATCCTCATCATCTTTGGTCAATACTGTGAAGAACCAGATAATAGCTCAGACCAAGTGTTCTCCTCTTTGGCCTTTGGCTGATTACACCGGCCCACCAGGTCTGGATAATGATCACAGGTGAGTAATACTGGTCTTTTTTTTTTTATATAAATGTAACCAAGCACACCACACTTCATTGGCATTCCAAGTATGGAATAAAACACTTAGGGCTGTGCTTGTCTAGGAAAATATGCTAAATACCCTGAATTTGATTATTTTTCTATAAACGCACATCCCAAAGTGTTTTTCTTCTTATACCATGGAAATTTTTACATTGTATAAGATTTATATACATACATTTTTAATTAACAGTCATTCCCCTGCTTTCCCTTGAAGTTAAATAAGGCAAAAATGCAGCTTGCTATGGAGAAACTTTAAGAGGCAGCATCCTCCATCTTTCAGCTTTCCCATGGCGAAAAATACCTCTGACTGGTACAAAGTGCTGACACTGGAGACTCCTACCATAGTAGTTAATAGTTTGTGCATTAAGGGGGACAAAAAAAAGATCTAGAACCCGTTGCCGTGCGAGACAAGCATGCGTATGGACTTTGATAATGTGCCCAGCATGTTTATTGGATTTTGTTTTTTTTTTTCCCCACAAGGCGACTAAGGATAGGAGTAAGGAGGAGAGAAGAAAACTTTAATATCCATTAATTGTAAATCTTGTATTCTGAAAGATGACCTCACTTTGTGCTCTGTGAACCACCAGGATCAAATTTAAAATAAATAAATAAAAT